TATATATATATATGAGTACTGGTACTCGGTTGCCCTTCATCATTGTCAGCAGTGTTCTTTTTAAAGCCACCTCGCCTATAACTACTATTGTGACCACCGTCATTGCTAATGTTTCTTTTTGATATCCTTACTTTTGTTGCTGTTGCTGTCATCTGTCTTATGCTATTACCCAGTGTCAGCATGAACATTATTACTATTGTTGCTTTTTTGTTGTCTTTATTCTTGTTCGCATTGTTAAAAGTGATGACGATTGAGATTATGATGATTATTTGTTGTGATTAGTAAGTAGCAGCATTATATGCTTACTACTACGACTGCTGCTACAGCAGTTACGACCCCAAACCCCAAACCCTAAACCCCTAACCCCCTTAACCTTGGAAAAAGGAGTTCAAAAAAAACAACCCAAGTGCTCCGTCGCCGGACGCTGGCAGGCGGCTCGACTTCTCCTCGGCCCGGAGGGCAATGCTCTGAAGGCAGAGCAGAGGCACCTCTGGGAGCAACCCTCAGGGGTTCCACGAGGGTTTGGTTTAGGAGGTTAGTTCTTGTTGAAATGGTCCTCTCAGTGGGTTCCACTAGGGTTTGGGGTTTAGGAAGTGCTGCTTCTCAGCGGATTGGCAGAATCTGGGTTCAAAAAAGGGAGTTTGTCGAAGCATCTGCTGCCTGTCTCCTCCGGTGATCAGCTCTGTTCGTGATGGGGAGCTGCCAGGCATCTCCGTGTGGCGGCCACTTCTGCGCTGCTCTGGCCGCCAGTGGAACCTGTTTGGGCTTATGTGGTGCGAGGCCAGCAAAGGTTCTCCGCAAAAGCTGTGCCACGTCGTCGGGGCTTATAATGGTCTAGTAATAACTGCAGCATAGGACATCCGTGTTTGCTCAGTTCCTGCGGATCTCGGGTGTGTGGTACGAGCGTATGCAAGGCCTTGAAAACCATTGACAAATTCATGCCAGCCGTTGCCGGTACCACAGCTCGTGGGTCAACTAGCCTCGCGGATAATTAGTAAAGTGCACGTCGGAGACTAGACACTGCAGGACAGAGCATGTTGCTGCTATCTCTGGAGCTTTCAGGCTGGCGGCGGCTCTTCGCACAGCGGGCAGGATCTGGTGGAGGTTTTGAGCTTCGGACAGCGGCTCAGCGGCACAGGTCGGCTCTTATAGGGCCAGAAAGCGAGCTCAGCTCCGTTGTGAGGAGATGCAGCACAAGCTCTACAAAGAGCGGCGCTTCTTTGAACTGGCATCTGAAGGCTCTGCGGTCGTCAATCTTTACCGAAGACTCACAGGGCTAGGGTATCATGGTCTTTTGACCACAGTCGGGGATCACCGAACCGCCGGTTCGCTGAAGAGACAGTGCAACTTCGCAACCGCTACTGCTCTAGGCGTTTTAACCTCGAAAGCCTTGATTATATTGCTATCATTATTTTTATCATGGCTTCTGTCGTCAGAATGATTGTTTCCCAAACAGTGTGGTAGAACTATGGAGCTCATATGTTCGGTGTAAAGAAAATTGGTCAGCATGCCAGCGCGGCTGAAGAGCGCACGCGCGAAATCCGCAAACGTCGCTCCCGCGGTGGTTCCGTGCAGTTTTTGTCCGCACATCCGAATACTTGTGCAGGATCCCGTCGGTGCGTGGATCCCACCATGGCATGAAGGCATTTCGCTCGTATTCTTTAGGATTCGTGCGGCTGTGTCCCCCGGCGGGCCGGATTCATGGTGAATGAAGATACATGCACGGAGCACTTTATGCCCTGGATTATGAAAACCTTGAATCAGGGTACGTGGGGGAAAGGATTCGGGTTGTCCTTCTGCCTCCCGCTGGTCCCGAATTGTGCATGAGTACCTGTGGGATGGCATGTCGATCGTGGTCCCGTATCCACCAGTACTTGGGAGAAAGCTTTCTGGCCACGCTCCCGAATCCTGAGTTGAATCCCACTACTCGGGCCAGGTCCGGTTGTGATTCCGCTAGCATCTTTAGCATTTTGGTGGTCTTCTGGTGGCCTCCTGGTCTGTGGTATCGGTCTTCGGGTGGCCTCCTGGCCTGTACTTGTACCCATAGGCTCCTTAGCAGTTCCTTTTTGGGAATAGGATTCTAAATATAAACCACAAAAAGGAACTACTTAGGAGCCTATGGGTAGTATCTACGCTGGTGTAGCCGTTCTTGCAGGCCTCACCTGGAGCTGGACGGTGCTTCGCGCCGCCTTCCTCTTCGGCTTCGCCCGTCCTTTGCCGGCGCTCTGGTCGACGACACCCCCGGAAGGCGATTTGCGGTTCAGGGTTTAATCATTATAATCATAAGAATAATAGTAGTAATAAGAATTATATAAAAGTATATATTTATGATTATTATTGTTATTATTATTATTGTTATTATTATTATTATTTTTATTTTTATTTTCATTATTATATAGAATTTATCAAGCCGCGTAAACGGGTGCGGTTAGTAGGTGGTTCCCACGTGAGCCACCGCACTAAGAATGACACCAGCGACAGAGTTCGAACACGAAGGATGCCAACATCACCACCCCCCCAAAACCCGTATAGGAGAACGAAGGCTTAGATGTTCTCATGTACCGGGTTTGTCGTACAATGTCGTACACCTGATCTGATAGCAAGTCCTGGCTGGCGGGTCGAACTCGATCCACCAAAACGCCAGAATCAGAATCATTACCTGCATTGCGAAAATAGTCCTAGTCTGGCGGGAGGCGACATAGTCCGTATTGGATGGAAAATGAAAGAATTTGCTTAGCAGCTAAGCTCTCCGCTCTCCCGGCATGAGTTCTCGGGCAGGGCCTCCGGTTCAGATTCCGCCTTTGTCTCTGCGCGTGGTGTTTGGCCCGTGGTCGCAGCTGAACTGGGCTCCCAGTGCTTGGTGGAGAGATTTGCCGCCTGCTTTCAAGATCTCCCAAGTTCGGACTCAAGACCGGGGCATCTTTAAATATCTTTACGAATTTGCTTGAGCCAAGGTTAGATGCAGCACCGGGCTCTCGGATACACCAGCCGCAAGCTGCTGCGTTCGTACCGTTCACCGGTGCAGAGTTGAGGCAAGCCCAGCCGGGTTTTGTGCCAACTCTTTTTGACAGGCACAAGAGTTTGCTCGCGCACGCGAGTGTGTGGGTACATTCATTTCGTATGTCGTGGGTAGAGGCGTGCACACGTATGCATGACTGCATGCATGCATAAAATGCTGAGCGGCATGGCGCGCATAGCATGTGTAGCAGTGTAGCATCATGCATGTATGTGTGCGCGTGTGAGCCTGGGCAGAACCACACGTCCCGGTTTGGCTTGCAGGCAGCAGCTGCCTCGAGCTGCGTTTCATGACATCAAAGTCGAATCGATGGACTCCGCCGAATCTGCAGGCCCATGCTATGCATTCACACAACTCAAGCTCGAAGTGGTGCTACATACATCTAGCCAGCACTCTCACTTAACCACGGTCCGTTGCAGAAGGCGGGACAGAGCGAGAGAGATACAAGGCCTCGATCCGTGTGCCTGGGGAAAAGCAACGAGGGAGTGAGATAGAGAGCCTCGTTCCCGGGCTTGCTCTCGGACAGGAGGACGGGAGGTACCAGATGCTCAGACCACTTTCGAGAAAGCAAGTCTCGTTCCCTGCCCAGTCCTACCAACACGAAACGAAACACTTGCCACCAGGACCATCACAAGTACTATAGGGGGCACCTGCAAGTACCAGTTTGCTGACTCTTGGCTACATCCACATGGCCACCAGCTTCAAGCAGAGCATGCAATCAACCACCTTCTCCCAGCCGCTGCAGTGCCGCTTGCTCCGTTGGCACAGCGGGGGTGAGCACAATTGAATTCGGCTGCCCTTCAAGTCCTTCAAGAGCACCTGAAGAAAACGAACGAGGGAGAGGGGGGGGGGTGAAAACAGTCTTTTAAGTTGCAAGGTGTTTTGCATGACACAGGTCACGAGGAGTCGATTGCGTGAATCATGCTATCCCATAGAAAGATGCAGTGATGTGCTGGAGGCAACCTCTACGGCTCCATGAGAAAATCATCCAAGAAAATCGGGCCAGGTGAAGCTCTGGTACTGGCTGCTGAAGTGGCTGTGACCCAGGATCTGCTGCAGGCCCTGCGCAAAGAGCTCGTGGCTGGTCATCCGGTCCTGGCGACTGCTCGCTCACTGGCAACTCTCGCGGAGCTTTGGAACTTGCCCCCTGCCATGCATTCGCAAAAAAACATCTTTCCCGAAAACACATGATGCAGATGTACATAAGACAAACAAAAACTGCGGCATCAGCCGAGGCTCTCGGAAGGGGAGAAGCTCCATCTCAGACTCGCTTTCGTTGGTGCGACTTGTCTACAGAGGTTGAAGGCCATTGAGGGCTTAGGGTAGAGATAGTGATAATTACTATAATGCTCTAGGTACTTCATTGTACTTCCAGCGCGTCTTGTGCAAAACGGGGAAGCTCCTACATTCCTCGCAGAGTACAACCGTCATGCCCAGGCGAACCCTTTTGCGTCACAGCTGCGTCCGGCTGCTGTGGGAGCTGCCCCTGTGCCAGGGCGTTGGGCTCGAATCTCCGGGCCGGAGGGCCAGAATGAGACAGTCCATTTGGGGTGATCGGAGGATATGGAAGGTAATTTATAGGACCTATAGGATTTAGAACTTCATGCGCTTGTAAGGCTGTTTTGGGCTTTGGGCACTTCGCAATTTCTTACCACCTGTCTTCCCAGCTGCAGAGGCTGACAAAAAGGGCGGACCTCAACGGTTCCGAGGCCTCCCATCCATGGGGATTGAGGGTTTAGGGTGTATCAATGAGTGTAGGGGGCAGGAGTCTGTCTCTCTCTGGCTGAAAAACAGCAAACTGCTCGAACGTGACTAGAGCATCTTGGAAGAAGAAACAAACTGCTCGAATTGTAGGAGAACGGTTGACCAGACGCAAATGCTCGAAAGGAAGTAGAGCGTTGGAGACAAAAGGAGTCAAACTCCTTGAAAGGGATTTTCGCATCAGACCCTGCATCGTGGGTTCGTCCTAGCCAGGCGGGAGGCAAAAAAAGATTTTCGCAATTGAAGATTAGACAGGAAACTCCTCATGATGAGCGAAAGGTTCTAGGGCATTTGGGCAGAAGCAGCAGCTCCGTGGTCTTTGTTTCAGCAACTGAGTATTGAGAGGTTCGTTCTTCCAGCTGCATGTGCAAAAACCTTGCTCGAACATTCAGCAGGAAACCACAGACATGCAGCCCGCCACTGCCGGCTTTTTCACATCCCTTCGCCAGCCCGCAACATTGGAACGCCTCTCATGCGACAGGGACGTGTCCTGGCAGAACCCAGCATCGAAGAAGCCCTGCCAGGCTCTCATTGCAGAGGAACGCGATGATGGCCGATGGCGGGTCTCCACGTCCAGCGGAGACCTTGCGGTGCGGCAGGAGAACCTCGCAACTTGTCGGAGAAAGCAGCGCCTCGCTGTTGTCTGCATGGTGCTCTCATTCGTGTTGCCCAATTTCCTGGTAGCAGACGTGTGACGTGAGTGAGTTCGCTTGGTCTTGGTGGCGATATGAGACGATGCATCGGCAAAGAATGCAGGTACTGGTAGAGAAGATGCGACTGTGGCTTAGGATCACCGGATCTTGTCTACAACACCTGCGCTTTCCAGCTAGCCGCTGACTGACTAGCCGCTAGACTAGCCGACGCCCCCGTCAATCATCCAACTCCTACTCCCAGCGCGTACCTTTTTGATGCCATTTCCAAGCCGGACTCTCGCTTAGGGTTTAGTTTAGGGTTTAGTGTTGAGGCCACTGCATGGCCCCCAAGCTTTGCCAGAACTCCCAGCCCCTCATTGGATGAATGAGTGTACTGGTCCCGTACTATTTTTGAGACCCAAAGAGGGACAATAATTTTGAGAACTACCCAGTTCTGCTCTTGTCTTCAGCACGAATCGCCCAGACCACTTGCGATGCCTGGGGTGCTGACAGTCAGTGTCGCATCTTCTGTCGGGTCAGTTTCGAGTGCCATTTCTTCGCACAGTTTGCTGTCAAATCCTACCGCGCATTGGCCGTGCTATTTCAGTACATTCCTCTTTCCGATGGTGCCTTACAAGGTCAGTCTCCTCTCTGACTTCAGCGGTTGATCCCCGATATCGTCCGTTTGCACCGGCCCCCGAGAGGTCAAAGTTGCAAAGTGCAAACTCAGCATTTTTTTTGGCAGCTGCTGCTGCCGGCGTTGCTGGCACGACGACGGCAACGCTAAACGAACGGTCGCCCGATACAGTAGCTGCATTGGCCGTCGTCCTCGTTGTGCTAGAGCCCTCGTAGCATCACTGTATGTAGCCCGAACAGGGAGCCGAGAGCTTTGGGAAGCTGTGGAAGGAAGTCTTCGTGGAGGAGCCCTGGCCACCTACGCCGAGCCCAGGCCAAGCTCCGTTTAATCTTCGGGTTCCTTCCAGTCGAGTCCGACGACAGCACATTGCACATGGCATCCAAACAGACTGGACCACGGAAAGCCGAAAAGAGGAGGTTTTGAGCTGTTTGCAGGCGGGAATCGGGAATGCTTGGAATGGCAACAGCAGGGGGACCAGCCCATCAACACAGCACGAGAAGCTTCGCACCGACGCAGACCATAGGTTAGTCCGTCACAGTGACTAGTGCAGATTTTAACAGTCGCCGTTTCGCGCTGCAGGCCTTTCCGCTGCGGAGTGGAAGGCCATCTGCAATGCTCCGTCGCTATCCACTGCTGCAGATGGCGGCACCAACGCGTTCCGTGGAAGCCAGGAGATCAGGTTGCAAAGGGATACTCGCACCGGGCAAGAAGCCACGACTTCGAACATCAGGGTTGTCTGATTGCGGCAGAAATGTCTGACATACGAGACCGAGAAGTGGGTCTGAATTCGATTTCCAGGTTCAGACAGGCATGAAGACACGCATCAGCAGCTTTCTCCGCTGAAAGGTTTGTCAGAACTGCCGACGCCCCTCTTCAAGTATACATGATCAGAGCTCAGCGACTTTGGGAAACAGACTTTAGTCGGCTCTGCCGAGGTTCTGGTTGGGGATGCAGCCATGCGGCCGAAGCCAGAAAATGTGTCCGCACTGCGCAGGGTGAATGTACTTCCTGGGATGCTCTAGGCATCCCAGGACAGCACGCTTTTTTTGTGCGACTCGGCCCGATCCGCTCATTTCATGCCATTATGAACATCAGCAGCTCTGGCAGGGATCCCGGGGAAAGACCCTCTTGGAGGATATGCGCGACAACAGTCCTTCCAAGAGCCTTGGTTCTGAGCCAGAGACACTGCAATTTTCCCGTTAACCATCGCAGTGATTCCGACAGCCCTTGTGTCCGAGGAATGGCGTCTCCTTCTCCTCCTTCACTGCCCCGTACAGTGCTAGGGACGGGGCTTTCGCCGTCACTGGAGAGGTTAAACTCCAAGCCCAAGCTTGATGCACTAACAGCCCGACGAGCTGGGAGACATAGCCTCTTCAAGCCCTTCTAGCTTTGCAGGACAGCTACGCAGGCATGAGCGACCAGGCTCGGTGGAAAAGAGTTAGCCTGTGCGTCTCCGGCAGTGATCTGAAGACCCACAATTACGGCCCACGAAGTTTGTTACATGAGCTTAACAGATCACTTTGTTGAAGCCCTGACGCTTGTCGTCTCTTCAACCGACATACATACAGAATTTGCGCGAACGGCACGCTTACAGTAGGGCATCAAAGGACATCTCTAAGACTTCTGCCAAGACCTATGTCACATATGTCTTCTGGGCTTCACCAGGCCATGTCATCTGGCAGCGGCCTTCTAACAGCAAGATCGCTTGCCACGACAGCCGCTGGCACGTGGAAGCCTTAGATGTGTGTCCATCCTTTCCACATCTCTGCCGAGCATTCACCCACATGAAGCGAGCGGGATCGTGCCAGGAGCAATCCGGAATTCGAAGTGCAGATAGATCGTGTCCGGCTCTCGGCGGGGCTCGTTTCGAGAAAACTGGGTCAAAAAACTATGAAAGCAAGACACCACGGCACTTGTACAGGCCAGGCTTTCGCGCTATGAGTTTCAAACTCAGCGACCTTGCAGGCGCCCGGCTCATCACTGGGCCTCAACTTGGACGCTTTGGACGGGCAGTCGCTCATAATTAGCGCCGTGAAGGCCATCCTGTTCGCAGAAGCCGTCTGCATCTCTGTCTCTTCAGTCGCCAGCTGCGGTCACCGTAAATTTCATCATGTTTGAAATTGCATCCACGTGGGCTGCCGCGTATCGAACTGCAGCCGGAACTGCCGTCGTGCAGTGCTGTCGTCGCCAGGCAGGCCCCATTCGCCAGAAGCCAAGTTGCTGCACAACACCACTTCTGCTGTGAGTAGTTAACAGTTGCATGTCAGAGTGCGGAGGGGTGCGGAGCCACTGTCCTGACCACCCCTTCGTGCCCTTTGGCCCTTGGAGCCATGCCGTGGCGGCTAGCAGGGTCATCCTGAATCTGGCTCTGCCGGACTGTCTGCAACAGTCGATCCGAAGTGCATGTAAGCCGAGGTGCTTATAATGAGGCGCAAGAAGACGAAGACCTCATGCTTCAGCAACACGCTCAGAGTGGAAAGGTCTTCCTGTCTGCTTTCCATGGACATGCCCTCGCTTCGCTGGAGCGCGAGCGTGTCGGCTCAATATGCTACACGCGCTGCTGGGAGAAGGCATCTTCAGATATTTTGCTGTTTGAGGCGAGTCTTGCCTGCTGAGGCTTCGGTAACTTCGGTAGTAGCAGTTAGCAGTGTAGTAGCTTTAGCTGGTCCTGGACGTTCAGCCACGCCGAACATCATGGACTCCTCTGCCATGAGCATTGCTGTTATCATCCCGGCGATGAATGAGGAGCTTGGCCGCTTGTAGCAACGACTTGGACAGACTGCAGTCTGCAGGAGAAGGCCTTGCCCGCAACGTTGAGAGCAGTGTTCAGCCAGGACGGGGATCGAATTGAAAGTCTTTGGGCGTTTCTGACAAGCAGATGAAAGTCTCCAAAAAGCAGAGAAACCGGATCTTACGGGTCCTGCACATTCAGCTGCGTCAGAGATAAATCATTCTATATCCCCAGCAAGCAGCTGCCTTTGGCAGTATGACGGTTCAACCCAGGCGGGAGACACTTCCAATCTCTGCGCATCAATTCCCGATGTTGTCAGAGCTGCTGGTGCTCTGTTTGGGGCATGGTTCCGATGAACCCGGTTGCGGCCTTTTGTTGTGCCACCCACCCGATTCCCTGATGAGAATGTCTCCGTGCATCCATATTGCCAATTCCCGAGCCCTGCACCTAGGGTTGCCACAGGAGCCACCTCCCAGTGAGGTTGTGGTCGTAGATCCTGGATCGGTCGTTCCTGGGCTTGAAAGGGAGGAAACGCGAGCAGGAAGACACGAGGGGGGCTTCTCTGGGTGTGACTTTTCCTCGACAGTAGTTGGGCTTAGGAGGCGTAGTTGGAGGTGGATTTCCGTTTTTGCGGCCATGGCAAACACTTGAAGACTGATTTGAGTTCAGAATCCTGTCGTCACGGAGTTTCGAGTCAGTCCCAGGTTTTTCATTCAGTAGTCGATGCACACACGGACTTGATGGACACGCAAGGATAGCTCACCGCTATAAGAATCCGTCTTGTCTGCAGAGGTTGATGGTAATTCGCTGCGCTTCCTCCTGCATCACTGCCTTGTCTTTTCTACTCACTCGAGTTCGGCCAAGCTGTGCTTCAACAGGTCGCAGCTAGTTAGTTGTGTCATCAAGATCAAGATCTCTTTCACTGAGCGCATTTGCCTGTCCTCGATGTCGTCGCGGTGTAGTCTGACCTTCCGACCCGAGCAGATCGCCTGATGCGGTCCGACCGCGTGCGCGAGTCCACAGGCTTGCATGGGTGTCAGGCATACCCAAACCCCGCCCCCAAAAGTAGGTAGAATAATGGCGCAAGAACTATAAAAGGCTATCACTTTTACATACTTTTGGAGTCCAGGTAGGGGCACGGGCATGGTCTTTGCCCACACTGCTCAGGACCGGACCCAGGACGTTGCACGAAGCTGTGGAGCTTCAGTGCTCACCTCGCCGCGGGGCCGGTCCCTTCAGATGAATGCCGGGGCAAAGAGCACCAAGGCGGGCGCTGGAGCTTTGGGCCTCTGATTACTTGTTGAGCTATAGCAGTTCATGACGGCTTTGCCGTTCCTTTGCATTTTTATGACCAAAAAAGAGCTAAGGAAAGCCTGGATGCATGAGAAGCCGTGTTAAATCAACCATATCTAAACTTCTGTTTGATTTTTAGAGGAAGCAGGCTTTGCATTTAAATTGAGTTGCAACCTGCACCTATGAGGGTTTGTCAGGGCTGCTGCTGTAGGAGCTATCGAGGTTCATCCAGTGTTCCTACAACTGTCAGCAAACTTCAACAAACCATATCAACTCTCTTGTTGTTGTCCTTGCTTGCCACTCACAGTGCTTGCTATTCTGATGATAATGTTCTCCGGCAGATGCGTTCCAATCCCCATGAGAGGGCATGTTTGAGTTAGCTTAAGGCTCAACGCCCAAAGGGAACCGTCTCCGAGCCGGCGGGCTCAAGAAGGGAGTCCACCAGTAAGACCAGCCGCACCCTCAACCCTAAACCTAAAGCCTGAACCCTAAACCGTGGACCTACAGAAGACTTTGGGAAGCAGCAGGTCGCCCTAGCCATGAAGGCGGCGCCGAAGCCAAAGGCCAAGAACAAGGCCAAGGCCAAGGCCAAAGCCAAGGCCGAAGCAGAGCCACAGAAGGAGCCCTTGGAGGTTTCGGAGTCTGCGATCCCTCTGAAAGAGAGCAGCGGCTCTGTGCCGGCGGGATCAGGTGCCGCAGCCGCACGGGCGGCCCGTGAGGCACAGAAGGAGTCGCCGCCCAGCCCGAAGCCCGCAGACGCGGAGCCCGCAGAGGAGGCCACAAAGGATGCAGAGCCCAAGGCAGAAGCCATGGCTCCTGATCCAAAACCCGAAGCCAAGGAGCCTGAGCCAGTGAAGATCGACTTGTCTTCCCTGCCAGATCCTTGGGCCGAGGTCAGCGATGATCTTGCGCTGACGCGGATCAAGGAGGAGGACTGGGAGGTGATCTTTGTATCCTCGGAAGCTTCTGCACCCAGCCATCTGGCGGCCAAAGACTCCGAGCTTGATCGTGTGCAACTCAGCGATGCGCAGCGGACGAGGCTCGTTGCAGCGGATGTCTCCGAGAACCAGCTGGCTTCGGCAGAGGCTTTAGGAGGCCCACTGTGGCTAAGGTACCTGAATCTCAGCACGAATCCCTTCACTTCGCTTGAGGGGCTGGCAGAGCTTTTTCCAAGGCTCCTTGTCCTCGACCTGAGCTTCGTGGAGCTTTCCGAGGTTCTCGGTGTCTGGAGGGCCCTGGCAGAGCTGCCCCGGCTGCGGAAGTTGCAAGCGGAGGGCTGTGGCGTCGCCAGCTTCGAAGATCTGGAGAAGATGAGTGAGCTTCGCACACTGGAGCTCAATGACAATGCACTCGAAGACCTTGCAGAGTTGGACACCTTGGCTGCGAAGTGCCCGAACCTTCTGGAGCTCGACCTGCGTGAGAACGACGTCGCCTCAGAGCCAGGATATGCAAAGAAGGTGAAGAAGCTTTGGCCCAAGCTCACCTGGTTCGACAACCAGTCCTTAAAGAAGTATGTGGCGGCTGGCGCGGCTGCTGTGTACGACGCCGAAGCGATGCGTGAGAAGGACGTAGCTGCAGTTGACGGCATGTTCAAGAACGAGTCCTGCTCCTGTCTCGAAGGAAATCCATGTGTGGATCCAGCCACCTGCAAGGATTGGCCAAACAGGGAAAAGGTCGCCGCAGCAGCCAGAAAGAAGAAAGGCCTAAGGGATGACACAGGCAAGATCTTATGACCTGGCAAGACTCGAGCTTCCCATTTTTGACCCAGGAGCTTAATGAACAGCCTCTGGAGTTGAGTGCTTAGGCCTTCCAGGGTGTGTAGACAGTGTAGCCTACTCCTCCCGTTTCACCGATGTCCCGAACCCAAGGTTCCTGGAAGAGAAGCCCACTTTCATCTCTTAGTCGTTGCTTCATCAAAGCAAAGTGCTTCGCGCCCAAGGGCTCTAGTAACCCTATGGCCTTTGCATCAATGCTGGGGTCAGTCGTGCAGATTGACTTCTGAGGCATTTTGCAAATTTCCACAACTCACGCCCTGGCCTGGCAGCAGGGTCCCTGTGCCTCTTCGGGATCGGCTGGTGCTTAGACCACTCATTGTCATTGTCTACTATCGCCACTCCGTGATCGCGTTTAGTTTAAACCTTGGCCTTCGACGTCCTGGATCCCAATGTCACAGTCAGGACTCCTGCCTTGCAGGTCCGAGCGTAGCACCACGGAGGAGAAACGGGACAGCATTCTGCTTCTGTGTCGCGCGAGGTTGTGAGCATAGCACTTGGGCATGTACTGGTAGTGCGCAGGGGCTACAGTATGGGATTGCACCGTGCACGCAGGTCCAGATAGGTTTCGACGCTTTAACAGCATCTTTCACTGTGGTTTGTTCAGCAGCTCAACATATCGTGCCCTGCACGAAGGTGCTCTGACTCCAACAGCTCAGGAAGCCAAACAAAAGCACCACAAACCAAAAACAAAGCCCTGATCTCGGAGGCACCCGTTCTCCTCTTCCTGCATGCAGACACTCACTTGCCACCTGGGGCCCTAGCACAGCTCCAGGCACCAGGGCTTCTGAGGTTGGATTGCGGCCCATAGGTGCAAAAAGGGGACGAGACATCCGGAGTGGGCTGAACAGGCTTACGTGTTCCACCTTGCTCTTGTCCTTCATGCCACAGTGTGAGAGATGGTGCAGCCCTGTGAGCAAATGATTTTTGGTATCTTCACGACCAGATCTGTCATGTGCTGGTGTTTCTAAAAGAGACTTCAGTCTTAGTTTTGGCAGGTAGCACTCTGCGATCCGGACGTCCAGGGTGGGTGCTTCGAGCTACGGTTTGACGAGGAGGCCGACAACGCAACCTTGCGACTTTGGAGCTGGACGGCTGAAGATGGCTGAAGTTCTGTTTCAGAGTTACTGATTTGTCCGCCATTTGCCTCTCCTCCATTGTCTCAGCGCGCATCTGCCACATGCGTGCGGGGGAGAGAGCCAGGGTCTACTGTAGCCGCTGTAGCCAGTGGAGAGTCATGGAGAGTCACAGTGAGATAGAGTGAGGATGGAGGAATATATTCAATTGTCAACTGCATTTGGAAGCCATCGGCCCTAGGATCTTACAGCAGTAGTCAGGCGTCAGCATCTGGCAGTCGTGCACAGGACGTCTACGGTTGGCTTTCTGAGACGAACCAGAGTAGGGGCCAAACGCACTGAATGCCTGCAGAATCCATGCGTAACAAAGAGGAAGGGTGGCAAGTTTCGGCTACAACGCTGAGACATATGCAGTTGACATAGACATGTTCCTGTCGGCAGAGACTAAGCCCTCCCGAAAGGAGGGTGGCACCCTAAACCCTAAACCCCTAAACCCTAAAACCCTAAACCCCTAAACCCTGAACCCTGAAACCTAAAGCCGCCAAGGTTGGTTTACCAGAACGGGCTGCTGCCGGACACCGCGCCTGGTCTTCGGGGATCGGGGCATCTTCGTGCGACGGAAAGCATTTGAAGAGCTGACGGGCTACAGGCGCGGGCTGAGTCCACCCCGTTTTGGAGACCGGCCGTGCGTAATTCTGCATTGGGGAGTGGGAGCCTGAGCGTAAAACACGAAAAATGCGCACTCTCACAGTGTCCCGCTTTGTTTTTGTTTTTTGATTTCTGTGGTTTCCATTGTTGTTGTGATCATTATCATTACTACTATCATTATTAGTATTATAATTACTATGATTATTATTATTTATTATTATTATTGTTACTACTATGATTATTTTTTTTGTTATTACGGAATAAGAATTTAAGGCTTCGGCCCCTGGACTGCACCCTAGACATCTCTTGACGAAGCTTTTGAGGCGTCACTGGATGTTGTACTGGCTGTTCTCGTATCACCACCCGGTGTCCCATTTACGCTTGACCACAACCACCCCTAATGCTCGATGAAGGGCATCATGTGCTAAGTTTGGACTGCTTGCCTGTTCCGACGGAGAGATTCGTGCCCCATTCATATCCTCTCCACAAGTGGTGGAGTTCTGCTGCAAGGCTAAATTCTCGAAAAGCTGAGAGCGTGGCCCTAAGCCGACCCGGAGCCCAAAAGCACTCGCCACGCGTCCGTCATCCCGAGAATGCGATATTTTAGACTCTCGTGGTGTGGTGGTGAAAATCGCCGTCGCAGGATGCCAGCCCTTTCAGAGAGGCTTCTTCCTGCGGCTTATTTTATGGCAGTCTAGTGTGTTCCGTTGACGTAGACGGGTTGGCTGGCCTGCATCGTCCGAGTTGCGAGAGTCCAAGGCTCCTAAGTCCGTAAACCTATAAGTACGTGGCAGAATATCAGGGCCTTGCAAAATTAGTACAAGTTGTTGTCGTTACATGTATTTAAACTTAGCAAATATGATTCTAGTACAATCATTGCCTATTCGCTTGGGGCTATCATGGGACCCTGTAGCACAGAGACTCGGAACTTTCATCGCCCTTTTACGCCAGGGAGTGGCCGCTGCTGGAGGATGTAGACTTTGCCCGTGCCCGAGACGTCGGACTCAGGTTCCCCGTGTTTCTGCCTTTTTTGCCAGGTGCGATGTACTACATCGGGGTTTAGGGCCTTCGCCACGGGGCCTTTCAAAGGTCCCCAGTAGTTGAGGTTCGTGTTTCAACGACAGAGCAGTCTTCTTGGAGCACTCGAACTTCGTGTCAACGTTCACAGAGTCTCGCTGCTGTGTGGCTGCGGGATAGGCTGATAGACTTTCAGTCCATCCAAAGCGGTTGGGTTCATGTTTCCAAGTCGAAGCTTCGTTCCAGTCACATGCTGAAGATTGCTGAACCAAGCATGTGAACAAGGCGATGCGCCTCGCAAAGCTCAACCGGAGAGCTTTCCACTTCCTTCCGATTGCCGTGACAACATCAGCGAGACGAATGCTGGAAATGGGGCCACTGAAGCAGCAACTGCTGATCCTTAGCTGCATGGTGCAAAGCCATAGGAGTTTCCCTTCCCTCCTGCATCCTCGCAACACATGATGACCAAACCATGTTTTAAAGAAGCCTTGCTGCATTTGCGCCTTATGTTACTGGGCTTTTCACATGAGCAGTCGCTGAAGAGTCGCTCGAGGAACACGTGCATCATCATTGCGTGGTACCTGGGCGCCAGCCCTGCCCGCATGCGAGACTGGTATCGGTACTACGCCGCAGCTCCACCTCCACGTCCTTGACGTGGGTAGTTTATGCATGTTCACGACATTCGCCTGCTGAAAAAAGAACATTCTTCAAAATAGAAATGCGGAAAACTACCCACGAATGGACGGGATGCCGTGTCAGAAAAAGTGCCTCGTGCAGTTGTCTCTCAAGACTGGCTGCTGCAATAGACTCACCGCAAAGTTTGAAGATGACACCTCAAGTACTCGGTCACCTGCCCAGGCATGGGGACAGCATCGTAGAGGTGAACGGGGCTAGAGGCAGTTCTCAGGCCGTGCGAGGGGTGAGCACTTGTTCCCAATACTCAAAGAGTGCCCATCCAATCGTTTTCAGATTCAACATGTGTGCTGCTGTTCCCGTGACACGGCATTGGAAAGCCGGTCCGCTCCAGGATTTAGGATTCTTTCGATTGGCAGAACTTCACTGCTGAAGCTTTGTGTTTGCACCCCTGGTATCAGGCACTGCTGGAACGGCTAAAGGCGGACACTGCAGCGCCCACAGCTGCCCGAAGGCTTCTGCGCGATTGCAGCTGCATTTTTGCGCGAGGTCTTGGTGCTTTACATCAAGCGCCCGGTCGCTGGGGCCCCGAACTGATAAAGAGAAACTGCGGGCACGCCCTTATTACGGGGCTGTGGCCGTTGTCATCCGGCATTGTCCTGCCAATGTGACTTTGACTGTCATAGCTTCTTACGTGCAATGCCTTCCTGGCGGCAGAGTCTCCTGACTGATCTGAAAGGCCTTCACCATCAGCATTGCGAGAGCGTACGCTCCGTCTGCCGCCCAGCGAGCCAAGTTCTTGCGGCTTCGTGGTGTTTCAGCTCATTCACTCTAGATCCAGCTCATTCGCCCTAAATCCGAGCCGCCTCACATGGTTTTGTCCGAGCGGGAAAATCCAAACCTTCAAGTGCCCTGAAACATCTCAAACCCCTAACTCGGAATGATGATGTGGGTGCATTAGTTTGAATTTGTTTGGCTTGGTGAATCTGCCAGCTCCGGCCAATGTGCTTTGGACGCACTCGATACCTCGCCAGGCTTGTCCCAGTTGTGAGTGCTGAACTGTCCGAGTTGTGACAGCCAAGCCGTCTAAAGCCCCAACGCCGTACGACAGCCCTGAAGCCCTGATTCTGGCCCGGTGAAGCTCTCGTTGCCTGGAAGCACAAGGCAAAGAAGTTCAAGCCTCCTTCGGGGCCCAGTCTTGGGGTACATAAACCAACGCATACTGCAGCCCTAAACCATAAACCCTTGTGTGGAGCCTTGCCTGCCTGGTGCGAGTGTGAGAGTCGAAACCCTAAACCCCCTAAACCCTAAAGGAGCAGTCTTGCCAATGTTTAAGACCCCTGTGGACATGGCCTCTGGACCAAGGCTCGGCTTGCAGGTCGAGCATGCGCCAAACGGCGCGGAGCTGAGTCGTATACTGATGCTACATATTATAGTTTCATGTACATAGACAAACATACATGCATGCATACATAATCATAGATACATGCATGCATGCATGCATGCATGCATGCATGCATACATACATACATACATACATGTGCTTTCTTGCTCTTTGTGTACATACCATGTACACCAGTGCACATACATATATATAATCATATATATATACACACAGATATATGTGTGTGTATATATAAATATATAAATATATGTCTGTGTTTGTTGCGTCTGTGTGAATACATACATACATACATACATACATACGTACGTACGTACGTACGTACGTACGTACGTACGTACGTACATACATACATACATACACATAATGAGAAGGATGCATGCATGGTTCATAATGAGCCTAACCTACCTCTCTGTCTACTTGTACTTACATTTCGGAAGATGAAGCTCCTTGGCCTAAAAGGTAATGCACACGCCAGAAAAAATCCACCCCAGGCAGAAGACAAGCTGAAGTATCATCGTTGCCGCAGCTTACTGCTTTCCATAGATCTCTCTCTCTCTCTCTGTGTCTCTCTCTCTCCCCGGTATAGGTTCATCGTATGCTCCGCTCTGTACATGTCTGGAACTGATCCATGGCACAAGTTCGGTCGGCCAAGGGACCAGCCTCTTAGTGAAGACCGCGGGGACCCAAGCTGTCGCAAAGAACCCTTGGAAGCTGGTGGGCGATTCTGTTTCAAAAATTGTAAATACTGGGCAGCTTTTTGGCTGCACTGAAGGTGTCCTGGTGTGCACAGGCATCAGCACCCGGTCCAAGTGCAAGCAAATAAGAGTCCCAGAGGCCAGCATCGGTTCACGGCTTTAGACTCGGAGCTTTTTCTTATCTTTCTAGAAGAAGCCTATCTCACTTCTCAAGCCAAACCTGTGAGCTTTCCAGCCGAGCCGTAGCAACGCGAAGAAGCATGTCAAGCCGCTTGAACTCACACTATCCCTGCACTCGCAACTTGCAGCAGGGGCAGTTCAGTTGTCGTTGGAACAATAAGTGGCCAAGCTCGGCTACCTTGCTTATTGCTGGGTTCCATGTTGGCAGAGGCTCGTCTTGCTCATTGATAACTTCTGATTACTTACATTCGGCGTTCCTCCCTCCTTCCATTCCTCCTTGATGTCCTGAAGTCCTCGTCTATAGTTAAAATGGATTAGGCCAGAATGGCGTGTTGCAGCTCTTCCTCCATACGTAGAATGGG